GGATGTGGAAAATCAGTAGCAAACAACACCTAAGGTTATAAGTTGTGTGTATTTGTTCTCTAAATTTCGAAAAATTGTCACAATAAAAGCAATTGAAGCAATTCTTTGACAACAAATTCTTATCCGAATATGTATACAAATTAACGGGGATCTCAAAAGGTCTATTCTAATTTTAACGTTTGAATACTAGTTTTATCTTGGTGTCCATATTCAACTCTGATTCTGAATGAACTCAGTGTTTTCATTCTCCAAGTTCAACTCGATGGTCCCCAATGGACCGTGGCTCATCTCGACACCACACTGTGTCATGCCCATCGGGATATTTTTTGTTCATGCTTAGAACCCTATTGAACGATAACAACCGAGTCACGGGCGATCTCAAACTGTGACTCGAAGATGATCTCAGTTCGAACTCAGTTATCCTCGACACCTCTATAGTCACCCCAACCATATCCAACCCTGTTCTCCGTACCCCCAACGACGTCATATTATCAGAACTCGAGCTAGTACACGGTTCACATCCATTCACGACCGGTTCTTCAACGTTAAGCACAACCTCTACCGGAGTTTTCTCCGGTAGACGAACCGGTTCGACCGTAGACCGACAAAGAGGACACGTAGAATGAGAATGAAACCACATATCAATACACTCGATATGAAAAGAGTGATTACATTTCGGTAAAAGACGGGCCGTTTCTGTTTCCTCAAATTCCGATAAGCACACTGCGCACACGAGCATCTCCGGGTGAGTCTTGGAGGAGTATACGAACACCGGAAGTGAATTCAATACCGCCGGCACAAGGCCTTGGTTAATAGAGGCGGCCGCGTCAGTGGGAAACATTATGTGAGAACGATGGCGGCGTTGGATCTGACGGCGACGCAAACGGAGGGCGTAGCATCTAGCATAAAGATGAAGACCCACCATAAAAAGCACCACAGTTAACACTGCAGTTATCGCAGTCAGCATGATTTTCCCGCTCAATGCAAATCCTTCTCTATTTACCCCAGTTCCCCTACGGAATTGAGGATCCATGAAATGAAACATAAATAAATAATTTGGAAAAATAACTACAGTAATGTTAGTAGAACAGAGGTTTCTCAAGAATGAGTGAGAATCTAGGACAGTTATCATTTATTATGTAGCAGAAAGAAAAGGGGAAGAACTAGGTAGTTTCTTGATAGTGGCTCCATTTTAGTCAAACTTTTAAAAGACGCTAAAGTTGACGCGTGATTGCGAAAGGGAGGAAATGGGCATAAAAAGGGCACTAGGTGAGGACCGTGTGGTGCGTCAATGGTCACTGTATGTTTTGTTTGATACGTCTTTGTGTGGTGTGGAATAAAGTTTTGTTTTCATGAATTTGTGCAAATTTTAGGATGTCGGAATTCACCTTCCTCCTCCTTTATTTGTAATTTGTAACATGAACTTAACACTGCCAACAGTTTTTAAATTGACCGACGTGTTTTGTCCACTTCAATTTCCAGTTCCTATCATACTGTGGGTTAAGTTAAGTCGTGAAGGATATTTAGAACTTGTTTGGGATAGGTTTTAATTCAATTAAAATTGAAAATATAGTCGTTATTGGATCCTACTCGTCGAATAAAAATCAACAATAACGATTAGTTTTTCAATTTTAATCTAATTTTAATCTCTATCAAACAAGCTCTTATTGGGATTGTGCGAGATCAGTACACGTACTAAAATTTCCTGTTTAAAAATTCTTGTTCTTCTAAATTTCGATTTAACTTTAATTTGTCTTATAAACAAGAGTTGATATTAAACTTTTGCTAATATAATATATTAATCATTTTCATATTTAACAATAAAAAGTAAACTTATATCTCTAAAAATACCATACATGTGCCTACACGCATTTGATGCGATATTGACTTATATCTTGATTCAGGGGGATTCGAGCCAGACAAGGTCGAGATGTCTAATAGTTCGTTAATGGCGTTGAGATATCATGAGTTGGCGGATCAGCGCAAGAATGGTAAGTAATCATCGATTTTTCCTAATTGGGGGCGCTTTTGGATACGTTTCGTTATTTTGACCATAACTTTGGCTATGGTTGTCAGAATCACGCCCATGACCCTAATTCGGAAAGCTATTTCCAGCGCGCACGTCGTGGGCACCCAGCTATGCTCGGTGTGCATCAATTTCGAAGCCAAATTCAGCTGTTTTCCCATCTGAATCATCAATTTAAGTTTTTTTGTCCTTTTTAGTAATATATCGATTTTCTTTTTAACATAGATTACGATATCAAATTTGGCCAAAATTTTGGGATCTTCTTCCTTTCATTACGTACTTCGTTTTGGTATGAATAATAGAATTTTGCTATTTTTGGCAAAATTTCGATAATTAATATTTTCTAACTATTTAACTCGGTTTTGAGTTATTTTCGTTCAGTTGT